TTCCAGGCAGGGCTTGTTCTCCTATGAAAAAGCTCCATGGCTACCCTTTTGCAGATTAGGGATTCTGGGAATTTTAACTTACACAGCTTGAAAAATTTTGAAAATCCCTGCTCTACAGCTTCTCTATCTTACTAAAAAGCACTGTGTGGAAGCCTCAATTATCCATAATGGGCAACAGTATTCGTTATCTCCGAACCATGGCATAGGGAAGATTGACACTTGGAATGTAGGAGCAGTAAATAGTAAACAGCATGAATTAACAAATGAAATGAAAGAAGGGAAAATAAAAACCTGTAAATCTCTGAAACTAAGAGAAAGGGGGATGATATCATAGATCTAAATGATGGCCTAACCTTGTGATCAGAGTTTATGAATACATGCAAAAAAATAAAGCTGCAGATTTAATTATGAATGAAAGGGTAAAATATATGTCAGAAAGTATGAACTGGTGTCACCTAGGTCAGGGATTTTCAAACTTTTCCAGACCACAGTCTTGTTAGTCAAAAAATAATTCACCAGACCCTCCTGATCAAGAGGTAAAACAATAGAAAAATGCCTGTATTCAAGATATTTTTTTCTTTTTTTCTTTTGCTGTTAGTCACTCACAGAACCTCATTAAATTTTGGTGGAAGCCAAGGTTCCCCAGACAGAGATAGAAAATGGATGCTGAATGAATGTGAACTGAATAAAAGAGTGAATATGAAAGAAGGTATTGAGGTGACTTGGTCATATACAGAGAATGAATGAAGATAGATATGGAAGAAGAGTGAAAGTGAGCGAGAGGAAGAAGTTGTGGTTGGATGGAACTGACGACATGCTCCAAGAGGAAGGTAAGAAGTTTAAAGAATATAAAAAGCCGTGTACAAAGAACTGTAGGTATGTGGGGGAAGCAAGGATGGTTTGCCAGGGTAGAAGATATAATAAAGTATAGAGAATGCTATCAGTATAAACCAAATTTAGCCATATTCCATTTTTTTAATCACATGCCTTTCTTTTTCTTACTATTTCTTACCCTTTCTGCGCTTTGCATAACATTCCTTATCTTGAAAGGGATAGTGTGGTAGGGATGTATTTACGTGTAGACCTGCAGTTTGGAAGCATGCACATGGAACTCTCAGTTGTCCCCAGTTGTCTTTTGAGGTTTATCCCCACACTGGGAGACATCTGTGTTTTTAAGGCCTGTTTCAACCATTGCAATAAGGTCTTTTGGTTTCAGCTTAGCATCTTGCATGACACCCAACCTACATTTTGCTCCTAGACTGGTTTCACTCAATACACTTAACCTGGTTGCCAAATAAATATTTTGTTCTGGATTCTGACAGTACATTGAACCCTAAAGTAACTAAACAGTCTGAGTTTACAGTACACGAAGCCACAAAAAAAGCTAGCTGAAATAAAACTAACCAAGATTAGCCTGGTGTTCAATTACAGCTGCTAGGTCTCCACTTGACCTGATTAAGCAGGATGCGCAACCCCATGACTTCAAGTAGTGCAAAGGAGCACAGCTTCTATCAAGAATAGGTCCCTGATAGGCCTCAAATGATTCCAGTTGTGCTGGAAGGAACATCAGACACATATATGTTCAGATATTTTTCCACAAGGCTATACTGTTCTAGTCGCTGTATCTCAAGCTATCATCTTAGTACATATGTTGGAAATGCAGAACCAATTGTAGCATTTTTCAGAAGAATTTAATGGAGTACCAGCGGCTGGCCTGGGAGACTCCCTCACTCTGGGCATGGACATAATTGGAAGAGTCTCCAACTCCCTGGGAGCAGAACCTTCGTAACAAAAACCAAACCAGTTCTTCCTGAAATGCATGTTGCCAAACTGCAACTAGTTGCAGCTGATGCCATGATGATCCAAGTGTTGCATCTGGTCCAGGCCAATGCCAGCTTCCCTCCGTTTCAAAGACAGAGAAGCAAACCTTTTTCAACTGCCAAATCTTTCTCAGGGATCTTCCCGGTGCAATCACTTTTAATGGGGTTCGATCTGCTCTTTGGGAGCTGCATGACACATGATTTTTAAGAAGGGCTGGAACGTGACCTGCAATTTTAATGATGAGGCAACCCCCCCCACCAAAAATGGGTGGGGAGCAACCACGGCCCTCCCTCGCCTCCCTCAACTCTTTGCAAATCAAGCCCCCAAACGAGGCTGCCTTTCCGGGGGGCGTGGGGAGGCAGAGGCCTCCCCAGGCACCTAAACTGTACTACATATCCCATTATCCACGGACTGGCTGTGCTCAGACAGGGCAAGAGAGGGAGCTCGTCCACCTCTTCCTACCATCTTGCCCAGCTGCCAGCAGAGGGCCCTGCGGGGAGGGGAGGCCTTCCATGCAGAATGGGGGGGGGAGTGTCCGAGAGGGATGAAGGCGGGAGAGGGCCGGGGAGGGGAGGCAGGCAGGCAGGGGCAGGACCGCCCCCGAGGCCCCCACTGGGAGGCGGGTGATGGGGGTCGAGGAGGGAGGGCCTCCCAGTGGGAAGGGTCCCGCCAGCCCCTTCCGAGCTCGGGGAGGGGAAGAGAAAGGCGGGAGCCCGACCTCCCCCCGCTCCCCTGGGAAGGTGCGGAGACTCAGGGGGGTCTTCTCCC